CCCAAATGCCGAGAGAAAGTCACTGCGTTCCCGAAGGGAACAAGCGAGTGGACTGACGTAACTGCAGTCGTTCGCGTTAGAAGAAGAAAGAAAGACGTGTTCGTTTCTTATTCTCGAGAACCCGTCGAAACGTGGAGCCGTTCTGTCGATTAGCCGACCATTCGTAACGAAGAGCTCTCGACGCCGAAACGTTCGAGTCGCAACGAATCGGCTTGTCGGAAATAAGGATGGACAGAATCGCACCGTTCTCTAAGGAATGAAGGCGTTTCTGGCGAAATTCTGTTTCGAGATATTCGGTTCTGGAGTTTAATAATATAATTAACCTTTTAGGTACGGCTGAATTCTGCGCGAGGCTATTTCTCTGGACGACAGAGTCTGATATGTACTGTACAAAGTCTGATACCGTATATTCGGTCTGTATATCGTTAAGACTGTTGTAAATCGATGCGAAGACAAAAGAAGTGCGAAACAATGCATATGAAGACGATTATATTTGATTATATTGAACGATGAGCGAGTGAGCTACTAGAGTAAGCCACTATAGTGGCGCGTCGTTCAGAGAGATGACATCCGCGAAAGCCACTATAGCGGTGTATCGTTCTGAAAGATGACATCCGCGGAAGCCACTATAGTGGCGCGTCGTGTCTAAAAGGTTAATACCAATTATTTATACGATAACAATTGACCGCGTAAACAATTAACCATCGAGCCAATTAGCCGTAATACAATAAATTTGTTGTGTTCTCTATTCAACAATTGTAGTGAAACACCATTAATATGAACTCGACAGGGAAGAAGCAATTTTTGTAAATAACTACATGCAACTTTACGCTCAAGTAACTGTTCATGCTCAGATAAATGAATTCAATTGTATGACTTGGTTAGTCCTCGTGTCTAGCGTTTAGTGAACTTTTCATATAATTGCTGGTTCAGATAATAGATATTTTGTTCGCATAAATGGAGTTTACATAAATGGATTTCTACCGTATCGCGATGTAAGATCGGCATTTCATCGGCACACATAGTCAAATCTACGGATTCTCAAAATTCACTGAAAGGAAAAAGGGCATTTTTCAAAAACCGTCCATATGCCTAAGATTCCTTTGATGCTACCTTGCGAAGTGACGGTTCGGTGGTAAGTGCTCAGCGGTCTAACACTGTCGTCTTACCAAAAGGCACCCTCTTCCTTTAGCAACCTTCAGCAACCGTCGTGTCGTCTGCAATAGTTCACCCTTTGGACGTGTCCCCTTCGAAGAAACAACAAAACCCAGCTAAATTCAGCATACGAATTTACGACATACTTTCGAGAATGCTGTAACAATTAAGCAACGAGGAAAATGTAGGCAGACGACAAATATGAATTCCCTTTTCTTCTAAGAAGTTCTTACAATCGAATCTTTCGACCGTCGTAACTGCGAACAGATGCGGGACAGGTATCCGCGGGATCGAGCAAGCATCCCGAAACAGAGCTGCAGCTGACAACGACAAAGTCGAAACCAGCATAACTGTACACCGGTAAAATGCTCGAGCAATCTCGTTCCATGATCAGCCACCACCTCCGCGTTCTGTGACAATTCGACCGAGCGGCCGCTTACGAAACACACGGCGGGCACCAAAAAAGCCTTTCTCTTTCGGCTTCCTTGGTCTTTTCCTCTTCCGTGGACACACGGTCGACCCTGCTCCCCCCTCCCTTCCGCCGCCACCCCCTTTTCTCCAGCATCTCCTTTTCCCGGTGGCTCAGCTCGAGCACGGTTAATGTCAATAACCGTTGCATTAGTTGCCGGTTCGCTTCTTTCTTTACCACCGCGGCTGGCCGCTCATCTAGCACCGATTAAAAATGGTCGTCTAAAGCGTGATCCGCGGCGTCGCACGATCCTGGTCCGTGTCCGGGGTTCGGCTACTGCCGTCGGGCAAGCCGGGCCGCCGGGTCGGGCCGGGTCGGGCCGAGCCGACGCCACCCCACACGGGACCGTTTTACGTGCGGCGTCGTGGCGTCACGCCCGGTGATTTGCTCGCCGGAGCAAAAGATGTTCCCAGTGGCTGCACCGTGTCGCCTGCATCCTCTTTGTACACTTTGTTCACACCGTGAAGGCGAGGAGGCGGCCGGCGCCGTTGTCGTAAGGCACAACAACGTGTCCCCAGGTGGGCGTCAACCGCAGAGAGAACGTCCGTAAATCTTGCCCAACACCGTCGCCGCCCGCCATCGCCGATGCTGCTCTTTTTCCGCGCGTTAGAACACGCCGGCCAAGCGAGCACCGCTCGGCCAGGTAAAAAATAAAGAGGCGACTTAACGCCCGCGTAGATTCAGGACGGAAGAAGGGAGAAGGTAGTTACACCCTTTACATTTTGTCTTCGCGGCGTACGAGTTCTCGACGAACGGGGGAAAGGCGGGCAGTTCGGTGGGTTTACTGTTACGTCGTAAAGGAAAATAAATTACGGCGAAGTCGCGGTTGGCCGAGCTAATCTCGAGGACAATGAATGTTTGAATAATGGAACGGTTACCTAGTTGCAGTGGTCGGTCACGTTGTAGATGATAACGTATTACAGGGAAGTCGCGGTTAGTTCGACCCAATTTCGAGAACATAGATGTTTCGAACGATGGAGGAGTTGTAACGGCAGGCTTTTTCTGATTTGTTTAATAAATCTTACCGCGAACAGCGTACAATTGTGGACGTTTATTCACGCTGTACTCGAATTATCAGCCATCCGTTAAACGCAAGCTTTAATAACATGAAAATTGTGCCGATCTATGCTGAGGTCATTTTAAATGGCGTCTCTCGGAGTCGTCAATCGAGCGCGAAAGATTAACTCTTTGAAGCATGGAATTTTAGAAAATAAAAGACTCGCGTTTTACAGAAATTTTATTCTTATAAAATTCAACGAGCCGGTGTTCGATGCGAAGCTTCGAGTAATTTTAATTTTTAAAGATGCTGTAAAACGTACCGTGCTACGCGAATATTTAGGCAATTAGTGGGTTGGGCATTTCGAAGAACTCTAACGCGCTTCGAAGAATCGAAGAACCGAATGCGAGTATTGTCT